CATGTATTCCCCGAATCGGTTTGGAAAGCCTTCGGGGAACACGTGGGCATCTTGAAGGTCATCTTGGCCGTCTTGGAGGCCTCTTGGGCGATCTTTCGGCAATCTTTGGGGGCTCTTGGGCCGTCTCGGGCCGTCGGAAAGCCGAAAAGAAGGAACTGTCAAAATCCGTCAAAAACCGAGGGAACAAAAATGTTTTTGGCCTCTTCTGGCCTTCCTGGAGGCCCTCTTGGGGGCCTCTTGGGTCCTGTTGGGCCATCTTCGAGCCAACTTCGGCCATCTTGGTGGGTTCCTGGCACGTCTGACGCCGTCGGGAGCCGTCTTGGGGGCCTCTCTGGGTCGTCTTGGGGCCCTCTTAGGACACTTCAGGACCGTCTTGGAGACCATCTTGGGCGTCTTGGAGGCCTCTTGGACCGTCTTGGGGCCCTCTTCGGGCCGTCTTGGGGGCCTCTTGGGTCGTCATGGGGTCATCTTGGAGGCCTCGTGGGCGATCTTGAGACGATCTTGGGGACCTCTTGGACCGTCTTGAGCCGTCTGAAGGCCGAACAGGCAAAAATAAAACAAAAAACTGAGGAAAATCAATGATGTTGGCCTCTTCGGGCCCTCCTGGAGAACCTCTCGACGGGCTCTTGGGCTGTCCTTGAGGCCTCTTAGGGGCCTCTTGGGCCGCATTGGGCCATCCTGAGGCTATCTTAGGCCGTCTTGGGTGCATCTTGGGCCGTCTTGGAGGCATCTTAAAGCCATCTTAGGTAGCCGTCTTGGAGGCCATCCTGGCCGTCTTGGAGGCATCTTGGAGGCAATCTTGGAGCCGTCTTGGGCAGGAAATTGGGGAGTTGAGGTCCTTGGCAATCCTCCCCGTACCCCAGCGGGACGGGCCTCTTGGGCGATCTTGGGGGCCTCTTGGGCCGTCTTGAGCCGTCGGAATGCCGAGAAGAAGCAAATTCCCAAATCCTTCAAAAACCTAAGGAAAATCAAGGATTTCGGCCTCTTCGGGCCCTCCTGGAGGACCTCTTGGAGGCCTCTTGGGCCGTCTGGGAGGCCTCTGGGGGGCATCTGGGGGGCAGTCTTGGGTACATCTTGGGCCGTCTTGGAGGCATCTTAAAGCCATCTTAGCCGTCTTGGAGAGGCATCTTGGAGGCCATCTTGGAGCCGTCTTGGGCAGGAAAGTATGGAATTGAGCTCCTTGGTAATCCTCCCGGTACCCCAGCGGGACGGGCCAGAACCCATTGGGAGAGTTCTCTTTGGAAAAACAACCAAAACCAAAACCTAGAGGGTTCAGCACGCCAGGCACCCCTGTGATGAGTCAACAGGGGGCGGCGGATCGAAGACGCCTACGGCGAATCACCGCCGCCCCCTGCCTTTGTGGAAGCGCCTATGTGGCCGAACGTTGAGGCCAGACCTGCCAAGCCATCGGATCATGTGTTCCCCGAATCGGTTTGAAAAGCCTTCGGAGAACACGTGGGCATCTTGAAGGTCATCTTGGCCGTCTTGGAGGCCTCTTGGGCGATCTTTCGGCGATCTTTGGGGGCTCTTGGGCCGTCTCGGGCCGTCGGAAGGCCGAAAAGAACGAAATGTCAAAATCCGTCTACAACCTTCGGAAAAACAATGTTCTTTGCCTTTTCTGGCCTTCCTGGAGGCCCTCTTGGGGGCCTCTTGGGCCCTTTTGGGCCAGCTTCGAGCCAACTTCGGCCATCTTGGTGGGTTCCTGGCACGTCTGACGCCGTCGGGAGCCGTCTTGGGGGCCTTTCTGGGCCAACGGGGGACCCTCTTGGGGCGCTTCGGGGCCGTCTTGGAGGCCATCTTGGGCGTCTTGGAGGCCATCTTGGGCGTGTTGGAGGCCTCTTGGGCCGTCTTGGGGCCCTCTTGGGGCCATCTTGGAGGCCGCTTGGGCCGTCATGGGGCCCTCTTGGGGGCCTCTTGGGCGATCTTGGGGGCCTCTTGGGCCGTCTTGAGCCGTCGGAATGCCGAGAAGAAGCAAATTCCCAAATCCTTCAAAAACCTAAGGAAAATCAAGGATTTCGGCCTCTTCGGGCCCTCCTGGAGGACCTCTTGGAGGCCTCTTGGGCCGTCTGGGAGGCCTCTGGGGGGCATCTGGGGGGCAGTCTTGGGTACATCTTGGGCCGTCTTTGAGGCATCTTAAAGCCATCTTAGCCGTCTTGGAGGCCATCCTGGCCGTCTTGGAGAGGCATCTTGGAGGCCATCTTGGAGCCGTCTTGGGCAGGAAAGTATGGAATTGAGCTCCTTGGTAATCCTCCCGGTACCCCAGCGGGACGGGCCAAAACCCATTGGGAGAGTTCTCTTTGGAAAAACAATCAAAACCAAAACCTAGAGGGTTCAGCACGCCAGGCACCCCTGTGATGAGTCAACAGGGGCGGCGGATCGAAGACGCCTACGGCGAATCACCGCCGCCCCCTGCCTTTGTGGAAGCGCCTATGTGGCCGAACGTTGAGGCCAGACCTGCCAAGCCATCGGACCATGTGTTCCCCGAATCGGTTTGGAAAGCCTTCGGAGAACACGTGGGCGTCTTGAAGGTCATCTTGGCCGTCTTGGAGGCCTCTTGGGCGATCTCTCGGCGATCTTTGGGGGCTCTTGGGCCGTCTCGGGCCGTCGGAAGACCGAAAAGAAGGAAATGTCAAAATCCGTCAAAAACTTTAGGAAAATCAATGTTTTTGGCCTCTTCTGGCCTTCCTGGAGGCCCTCTTGGGGGCCTCTTGGGCCCTTCTGGGCCAGCTTCGAGCCAACTTCGGCCATCTTGGTGGGTTCCTGGCACGTCTGACGCCGTCGGGAGCCGTCTTGGGGGCCTTTCTGGGCCAACGGGGGACCCTCTTGGGGCGCTTCGGGGCCGTCTTGGAGGCCATCTTGGGCGTGTTGGAGGCCGCTTGGGCCGTCATGGGGCCCTCTTGGGGGCCTCTTGGGCGATCTTGGGGGCCTCTTGGGCCGTCTTGAGCCGTCGGAATGCCGAGAAGAAGCAAATGCCAAAATTCTTCAAACACCTAAGGAAAATCAAGGATTTCGGCCTCTTCGGGCCCTCCTGGAGGACCTCTTGGAGGCCTCTTGGGCCGTCTAGGAGGCCTCTGGAGGGCCTCTTGGGCCGTCTTGGGCCGTCTTGGACTCTCTTGGGCCGTCTTGGAGGCCGTCTTGGACCATCTTGGGCGGACCTGGAGGCCATCTTGGACCATCTTGGAGGCCATCTTTGGCCATCTTGGCCATCTTGGAGGCCATCTTGGAGCCGTCTGGGGCAGAACATTGGGGAAGTGAAGTCCGTGGAAAAAAATGCCGGGACCCCAGCGGGACGGGCCGAAACCCACTGGAGAGCTCTTTTTGGAAAAAGAACCAAAACCAAAACCGATAGGATCTAGCACGCCGGGCACCCCTTTGCTGAAGCAAAAGGGGGCGGCGGATCCTAGTGGCCTTCGGCCCATCTCGCCACCGTGTCTGGGTTGTGGGTCTGAGGCCTCGTGTATATGTGTCGGGGTGTCGTGGGGAGCCTTTCGGTGGCCTCTTGGAGGCGGTTTCGGCTCCTCTTGCGGGCATCTTGGGGCCTCGTTGGGTATCTTTTGGGCCTCTTGGAGGCCTCTTTGGCACGTCTTGGGCAATTCTTGGGATCTCTTGGGGCCCCCTGGGGGCTTCTCTGGGCTTCTCGGAACTCGTCTTGGGCCATCTTGGGGCCCTCTCGGGCCGTCTTGGTGCCCTCGTGGAGGCATCTTGGGCTGTCTTGGGGCATTCTTGAGAGCTTCTTGAGCCAACTTGGAGCGTCAGAAAGCCGACAATGCGAGAACCCCAAAATCCCTTCAAAAACCTTTTTGTAAAATCGACGATGTTGGCCTCTTGGGGCTCCCTCGGGCCCTCCTGGGTCGTCTTGGAATCACCTTCGGGCGCATACGGCCGAATTTGCTATGTTTTTATGGACACGTGGACGCGAATATTGAATAATGTACCATGTTTGTTGTCTCGGGGTCGCAAGAATTAAGCAATCTGCAAGGGTTTGCGGCCTCGGGGGCGCAACTATCGCGCGATGTACGAAGGGTTCTGGCTTCGGGGACGCGACTAGCGAGCAATTTGCGAAGGTTCGTGGCCCCTGGGACGCGAATATTGCATGAGTTGCGGAGGATTCTGGCTTCGGGGACGCGAATATGGCATAATTTACTAAGGTTTGATGTCTCGGAGACACACAACTCCTGTAACGTACCCGGGGTTGCTCCCTCGGGGGAGCAAGAATCGTGTAATTTGCAAAGGTGAACGAATATTGTTGAATTGAGAAAGGTTTGTTGCCGCGGGAACGCGCAAATTATATGATTTGCTAGGGTGATTGGCTTTGGGGACGCGAGCATCGTGTAATTTACTGGAGATCGTTGTCTCGGGGGCGCAACTGTGGCGTAATGTACACTGGATCGTGGAGGCGCGAACGTAGGGGTAATTTACGGGAGATCGTGGCCTCGGGAGCGCGATTATAAAGTATTTTCCGCTGGATCGTGGCTTCGGGAACGCGAAAGTGGCGCAATTTGCAAGGGATCGTGGTCGCGGGGACGCGAGCGCGGCGTAATTTGCGAAGGATCGTGGCGTCGGGAGCGCGAATGTGGAGTAATTTGCATGGCGGCCTCAGGGGCGCGAATGTAGTGTAATTTGCATGAGATCGTGGCTTCGGGGGCGCGAACGTGGTGCAATTTGCAAGGGATCGTTGCTTCGGGGGCGCGACTACAGTGTAATTTACAAGGGATCGTGGCGTCGGGAGCACGACTCATGTATTTTCACGTGTCCCAACTGGATGCTTTTCGGCTCCCCCCCGTCGCGCGGACTTCAACAGTTTACATTATGAACAGAAAGCAGGACTGTAATATTGGAGACTGAAAACTGGAACTGGCACAGGGTATTGAAACCACCTGGCCCTCGCAGCCTGATGGCCCCACAAGGGGGCTGGCGGATTATGTATTGTTGTGTCGGGTCTTATGCCGCGAGGGTGTAGTTCTGTGGAAGGTTCGGGCGGCGGGCCCTGCGCCCTACTTCAGTACATAGGGTACCGAGTACCACGTGACGTTCGCTCACGGTGCTAGAGCGCAATGTTTGCGCATGTTGCTCATACTGTGCGCTTGCATGTCCGTAGCCATTTTGGCTCAAGACGTGTTTCTGCCTCCACTGCAACAGCGTAGTGAGCGCCCTGCGCAGTACACGCCAGGCACCGCAAGGATGTCGAGCCTCGCAGGCGTCCACCTCCCGGCCGTCAGCAATCCGTTTCCGCGACCGAGGCCGGCGCTGGCGTGGGCGGAGGCATCCAGCGCAGCGCCCGCACCGAGGCCACCTTCGCACCCCAGGACGGCCCGCGGGCGCCCCGGCGTGGGCGAGCGGCTCCAGCGCCCCCCTCTGCGCAGACCGCTCGGCGGCCACGGCAGGGCCGCGCTGGGCTCCGACGTCCTCGTCCGCGGCAGGATCCATAGGCCCCTGGGGCTTCGTCCTTCCGAGCCTCGAGCTCAAAAGGCTTTCGAGCACCTTCCCGAGGTGGAGAAGTTCGTCACGGGGATCTCCGATCCTCGCCCCGGCAGCGGCACGCCCAGCTGGCACGCTGCGGAGGAGTTCACGGCGCCCAGGCCGTGGCCCAGAATGGAGCTGGCCGGCAGCTCGGCAGCGAGCGACCACACGAGCGACACCGAGTCGACCTCAGACCTCTTCGCGATGTCCCCAGAGCTCTCCGCGGCGGCCGCGGGACTCCGTCTGCCCAGCGCCGTCGCCAGCGAGGCCGATCGGCCCCCCACTTGGCCGGGCGTCGTCCGCCCCACCGGCGAGCCCTTCCCGCCAAGCGCGCCGCCCGACCTCGACGGCCGCAGGGGGGCCCCGTGCGGCACCGGCCCGGGTCCGCGCGGCGGCGTGCCAGCTGGGCTGCCCCCACGGCCGCGGGGGGAGGCGCCCGCGCGGTGCCGCCCCAGCATGGCCGGCAGGTCGCTGTCGGCGAGGGGCAGCGGGCTTCCGCGCCACGCGGCGCGGGCAGCTGCTGAGGACGAGGAGCTCTGTACAGCGTCAGGGGAGCGTCAGGGTTCGTGGCGTTGATACGTGCCAAGACGTCCAGGCGTTCCAAGATCCCCGAGTCCTCCCCACGGCCTGCAGGAGCGGGGGCCGCTGGACATCCGTGGAGATCCTGGAGCGCATCCTGAGCCAGTCCTGTCATGGTGGCATCGTTGTCGTGCTGAGGTTGGCGAGCAGCTGGGCGGAGTCCGAGGCCGCGGGGGCCTACAGGAAGCAGCCGGGCGTGCATTGTTTTGCCCCGTGGGCCCGGAGGTGGCATGTTTGCTTGTCGGACATCGCGTGAGGCATCAATTCGATTGAGATTTTTTTTCGTTGCCGAGATTGCTAGCTACTCGTTCCTTCGTTTTCTTTCGATCAATTCAATTCGACAGCTAGATTGTGGCGTGTCATGCCAGGACATCGCCCCCTCATCTGGATTTTCCATCATGGCTTTCATGCCGACCCGGGCCAGTGGCCCCAATGGCGACGATTTCGCGGGCGCCTACCGCGCAAAATTGCAATTGCGTACAACCTTTAATGAGCAATTGAACGATTTAATCGTGATTGAGAATTGCCCGCCAAGTCGTGCAACTCTTGGCCTTTAGTTTTGCTATGGGTTGCTTGGAGGTGACTTTGCCACAGGCCATGAAGTTGTTACTAGTAGGAGAGTGCGTTTTTTGTTGGGATGGAGCGTTGCCGAGAGCGACGCTGCTGCACAAGACCTGAAGCACAGGGGGTGCACAGACAGAGTTCTTCAACACATCCGTACGGATCCGTTGCGATTTACGACATTCATAGTTGGAGGGCGTCGTTCAAGAAGCGGGGGATCCGCTGCTTGAAGTGCTTCTGAGTTCGCTGCACATTACATGGGCGCGCTCTCGAGACTCTGCGCGCTGCGCGCCCAATAGCCCCACTCCCCGGGCGGCGCCATCGGCGTCCAGGTGATCGAACACTCCATGGTACGATGCCATCTGGTCTGCCTTGCGGGGCGGGGATGGGGAAGGACGGGGGGGAGGGGGAGGAGGCATGATGAGATGGAACGAGACGCAGGATGGGGAGGAGGTTGCTGTGTGCGGGCCTGACGAGCCGTTTAACTGAGTCAGACAAAAGCAGACGCACATGAGTCCGAGCCCTCTGCGGAGTGAACTGGACGGACGCGTCATGGCCTCTCCTCTGGCACGGACCAGGGAGAGGCCGGCCTTTTCGAGGCCAAGAGAATCCAGAACAGGATGAGCAGGAGGAGTGGGGTGAAGGGACCCCAAGACACACACACACACACACACACACAAATAGACGCAAGTCCCAAGATTCACCATATTTCCATGTGTTCTGGATGCTCGTCTCTCCCTCCACTGCCCCCCTTATTTTCCGCATGCGTGCTGTTGGAATAGGCCGATTTGGCCAAGGCCGATTTGGCCAAGGGCCCGATTGCTGGTCTGAACAGCGCCTCGCGCGGCGCTGTTCTAACCACGGGGCAGAATTTGTTTGAAGAAGATGCGACGCGGCCAGGGCAGCCTTTTGGCGGGCAACCAGTAGTGCCAAGCCGCTCGAGCAGAGATTGCGTTCGAGCCTGTCCTCGCGTGCGCTACAGAATTTACGTTGTGCCGACAACTGGTCCGCGATATGTGAATAAGCCGATTTGGCGAAGGACCCAGGTGCAGGTGCCGAAGCCTGCTGCCAGCGCCACGGGGCAGACACGTTCATCAGAGCATGTGTCGGGCCACAGCCAAATTGCCTTTACACAAGACAAGCTGGAAAGGTAGAGCGATGCTGCGAAGGATGGCAAAATAACACTCTGCGCTTGCATGGTATGGTAATATAGACATATATATATATATACAAGACTGCATTGGCGCTGCGCGCCATGCACCTTGGTCCTTTGAGTTCTGCACGCAAACGGAATGCGTGCGTGCGTACATGCGCGCATGCATATATACACGCGCACGGGTATACATGTTCCGTATAATTGTCCAGGTGTATACAATATAGTCACATTGTTGTATGTGTGTATACAGCGTACATATGTATATATACATATACATATACATGTATATATATATATATATATATATGTATATGTGTGTAAGGGTATGAACATGCATCTGCAACTCGTACGGGGCATCCTCGGGCGTCTTCGCTGCATGCCACGAGACCCTCAACGACTGGGTCACAATGTGAAATGTCATGGGAGCAAAATCCATGAATGTTGGCATTCGGAAACATCGTGGGGGTGTTTTCGGGGCCCTCGTGGGCCGTTTTGGCGCCTTCATGGGCCGTCCTGGGGCCTTCTTGGGCCGTCTTGGGGAGCTTGGGCCCGCTGGAGCCCCCCTTGGACCCATCTTGGGCACTTCCGAGGACCTCCCATGGCCCTTTTGGGGTCTGTGATGGGAGCCTTCGGGGGGCCTCTTGGATCCATTATGGGCTGTCTTGGGGCTCTCGTGGGCGATCGTGGGGCCCGGCTCGCCGTCTTGAAGCTTTCTTGGGGGCCTTTTGGGGCGTCTGGAAGCGATCTCGGAGGCTTTGAAACCGTCTTGAAAGCTGATGAAATCCGAAAGGCGAATATGCTAAAATTGTAAGTTTTACGAAGAGGATGGGACGATTTTTATGCTTTGAAGCCCCCTTGGAAAGCTCTTTGGGGTGCCTTGGGGGTCTTTCTGTTGGCATTCGGAAACATCGTGGGGGTGTTTTCGGGACCCTCGTGGGCCGTTTTGGCGCCGTCGTGGGCCGTCCTGGGGCCTTCTTGGGCCGTCTTGGGGAGCTTGGACCCGCTGGAGCCCCCTTTGGACCCATCTTGGGCACTTCCGAGGACCTCCCATGGCCCTTTTGGGTCTGTGCTGGGAGCCCTTGGGGGGCCTCTTGGTTCCATTATGGGCTGTCTTGGGGCTCTCGTGGGCGATCGTGGGGCCCGGCTCGGCCGTCTTGAAGCTTTCTTGGGGGCCTTTTGGGGCGTCTGGAGGCGATCTCGGAGGCTTTAAAATCGTCTTGAAAGCTGATGAAATCCGAAAGGCGAATATGCTAAAATTGCAAGTTTTACAAAGGGAATGGGACGATTTGTGTGCTTTGAAGGCCCCTTGGAAAGCTTTTTGGGGTGCCTTGGGGTCTTGGGCCGTCCTGACGCAATTGGAGTCCCTCTTGGAGCGCTCTTGTGCTGTTTGGGGCCTCCCTTGAGCCTTTCTGATGACCCCTCGGATCGCTCTGGGTCTGCTGGCAAGGCGTTTGTGGAGACCCGGAAAGCCGGGTGACCTTTTCCAAGGACGTCCAAGGGAGCCCGAGAACCCCAGATCCCAGGGGGTCTAGTTTTTTTTGGGGGGGGGGGAGGGTTTCCCCCCCCCCCCGGGCTTGCAAAAATATAGGAAGAGGAATATATTACATGCTTGCGCGGCCAAGGGAAATGCCAGGACTTAATGCTGACGCACGGCGCTGACACACGACACAGGCTGACACGCGGTGCTCCGACATGGCGCTCCGGCGGGCGCATCATGTTGGTTAAACATTGTTCGTGGCCAGGCAGATATATTCGATGGCCGCGTGGCTCGACATTGGCATCTGGATGTCGGCAGTGTGCCAGGACGCCAGTGACGTGTCTGTTACAACTCCACGGACCAGGAGCACCATCTTCCAGGGGTCAGATCGAGCAGATCGCGCCATCGAGAGTGGCGATCGGCCGAGTGGTCGGGCACACTCCGAGGCCTCGGGAAAAGACACAGAGGCTGGCCTGCCGAGGGTGCGCTTCGACAGCAAGGACACGGGGACCGGAAAGGCACCCATTGTTAAGGCACCATGCTCTAGGCCTCTTAGATGGGGTCGGAGTAGATGGGGTCGGAGGATCGCGCCGCATCGCCGATGCATCGCCGATACGGCTCGATTTGGAGCCCGCTTTCCTTCACGTCGACGTCGACGATGCATCGCCAGTGCATCGCCGGTGCATCGTCGGTGCATCGGCGATGCGGCGCGATCCTCCGACCCCAGCTGCTCCGACCCCATCCAGGAGGCCTCTACATGCTCGGGCGCCTCGGAGGCGGACTGGGCTGAGATGTCGTCTTCCCGGGGCTCCCTGAAGCGGCCTCATAGCCTTCTTCCCTCGCCCTGCCTTCCGTGGCCACACACGGGTGGGGTAGGCTCAGAGGGGAGGTGCAACGAAGCCCAATCGCCCATGGATCGCGGATGGGGGCCCGATGGCCCGCCGCGCCGTGCAACGGTTTCGCTATCGGGGACCTCTCGCCGATCTATGGGCGACGCGTCGCCGATTCCAGGTCGATGTTTTGCTCCCCCCCGACCAGTGCCCCCCCGATCGTCCCCCCCCCCCCTTCTTCTTCCGCCCTCCCCTCCTCTCCCCCGCACTCCCGCCTCTCTCCCTCCTCCCCCTCCTCTCGCGCCCTTTCTCCTCCTCTCCCCCCTTGCCCTCCCCCTCTCTCCCCTGGCCGCCTCCCAGGACCCCCGTCGACGACTGCGACCTGTCTCGCGGCGTGGCCCCCCCCCAAGGTTTCGGCGCCCCTTCCCCCGGGGCCGGCTTCTTGTCCCGAGTCGTTCCTGGACGGCCCTTGGGGGGCCGCAAGGAGCCCCGGGGGGGCCACATGAACCCAAATTGCCCGTCGAGCTTGTTGTCCCAACGCAGCGAGGCCTGGGCAGGTCAAAAGTCGATCCTGAGATCTCTCGCGGGGCGCGTCCTGACCAGCATCCCGCGGCGAATCCAGCCGCGGCGACGAGAAGCATCCCAGAAACACAAGCATATGCCCAAAACGCCCCCCCCCCTTTCCTTTCCACACACACACACACACATACACACACACACACACACAACAATAAGAAAACGAACCTCTAGCCTTGAGTGAAGTCGGGCCTGTCCCTCTACAGGGGGAATATTCAAACATGATCAAAAAAGGGAGACGATTTATTGAGTAGTTTGGAGCATTGTTTGAGCATGCTCTGACTATGTTTCATTTTTCGTCCAAAATCTGCCTCTAGGGGGACACGCCCGACCTAGGCCTTGGGCTCGATCCTTCTCGACAAAATGCAACACCGTAGAGAGCCACAGCAAGGCCCTCGACACCGCCTTCCTGCGCATCTCTCGAGCGGGAACGACCTATGAGGGTCCCCCGGGCCCGCAGCAGGGCGAAATCGCACGGCGTGAAAAAGCACAGCGCCCAGCTAGCCAAGGCCCACCCACCCCCTCTCCCCAGACCTCCGACGTCGTGCGTTTTCTTCTTTCCTACTTCGGACCCCAGGAGGTCCGGACCCATTCCCCAGTATCTTGGTATCGCTCGGACGTGTGCACTGTTTCTCAGCGGGGATTATTAAGGAGCATCCTGGATCATCCTGCGAGAAAACCACGCACGTAACCGAACAAAAACACGGGGAATGGACGTCCGAGCGATGACCAGGGATCGGCTTATCATTTTGATTTATTTCTGCGGCACAGGGGCCCAGGGAGGGCCACAGGCCGAAGGAGGCAAGAAGCCTTCCGTCGCGACTTCTCCCCGGCGCGAGGAGTGTGCGATACAGTGGAGACCGAGGAACACCCTGCTTGCCTCCAGGGTGCCCTGGGTTTCTTGGGTTTCAATGGCTTTGCGATGGAAAGCGTGCGGTTCCCACACCAGACATGAATGGACGTCCTGGGGTCTCAGGGTTAGGTTTCTTGTGGGAGGTTTCTTGTGGTCGAGCCCCCACTGTGACTGGGCGTGTCGTGAGAGGGTGGCGATGAGTTCGGGGCAGCGAGGGCAGCAGGAAGAGAGCCCCGCAGGTGCACGAGCGGTGCACCTCTCTCCCCCCCGTCCTCTGTTTAGGGCGGCCCTCGCTCCCCAGCCCCCCCCCCCTCCCTCCTTCCTCTACCCTCCTCCCTCCTCCCTCCTCCCTCCTCCCACCTCCATCCTCCTCCCCCTCCTCCGCCTCCTCCTCATCTTCCTCTTCCTCATCCTCCTCCTCCTCCTCCTCCTCCTCCTCCTCCTCCTCCCCCTCCTCCTCCTCCTCCTCCTCCTCCTCCTCCTCCCCCTCCTTCCCCCCCTCCTCCTCCTCCTCCTCCTCCTCCTCCTCCTCCTCCTCCTCCTCCTCCTCCTCCTCCTCCTCCTCCTCCTCCTCCTCCTCCTCCTCCTCCTCCTCCTCCTCCTCCTCCTCCTCCTCCTCCTCCTCCTCCTCCTCCTCCTCCTCCTCCTCCTCCTCGATCGGCGATGTACCGCATCGCCGATTCAGGCCCGATGCTGCCCCTCTGCCCCCCCAGCTTATGGCCCCCACTCCCTGCCCCCCCCCCCGATCGGCGATGTATCGCGTCGCCGACCGATTTAGGCTCGGTGCTGCCCCCCGTCGGCCGCGCGCAGAGGGGGGTATGGGGGAGGGGGAAGGCGTCTTCGAAGCACCCCTGCTTCTTTGAGCGCGCGGGCCTCACCTGTAGATGTAAGGCCAGCGCCCTCTAGCCTCCAAAGGAAGTAGCATCCTGCTAAGAGGCCTCCCCCTTCCACCGTTTGCGCGCCGCCAAGATGTAACGCATCGCCGCTTCAGGCTCGATGCTGCCCCACCGAGCCAGGGCCCACAGGAGGCTCGCGTCGCGTCGGCCGGCGGCGGCCCCGCCGCCGGCGTCCGCGCTGAACGCCGCCAGCCACCCAGAGTCGGTCGATGCGAAAACGATCTGACGTCTCAGAAGCGGCCGATCGTCCCAGGTGGAACGGGCCGCGAGCTTTCAGGAGTCAACGCCGGGGTCGGCACGGCACGAACCCAGACAGCCTCCAGCATGGTGGTATGCATCGTTTTGCCGAGCGGCGCGGGCCCTCGCACCCCCCCGTGGAGTAGACCTTGGCTGTTCTCGGCGCCTGCTTCGAGCAGGTGGAGTCTCCCCCACTGGACGCACTGCTACAAAGAGTCGCACTAAGAAGAGGCCCAAAACCAGACCACCACCCCCCGCCCCCCCTTTCCGCCCAGTGACGAAACGCCGCATAAGAAAACGTCCACGTGATGTTGTTCCATCCGCGGCCCCAGAGGCTCCGGCCCCTTCCCCGGGGGTGTCCTTTCCGTTCCCCGGGTGCCTCTTGGGATGGTCCACGGGCCCGATACCACGGGCCCCGGAGGCCGTTAAGCCGATGCAAAACCCTCGAATTGAAAATATCGTACACTCTAGGCGATGCTTAAGAAAACCCAAGTTTTCGGCCAGAGTCTCGATTATTCTTAATAATCCAATGTAAATCCTAAAATTTGAATAGACACGCTGGGTTTTTATTCAAATTCTGAGACTATGAATTTCTTAATCCATGATTTCTAAAGCATTTCGCAGGGTGTATGTCTTCGGAGGTCTGGGAGCCTGCCCTTTGGTTCGCCCCCCGCCCTGCGCGCCAGGAGGAGGTAACCGAGCTCCCGGCCCTCCTGGCGGCGCCGAGGCGGCGGGGCCGGAAGGCCACGGGCGCTGCCACCAAGGCCTCCGGGCGCGGCGCCAAAAGCCGGGGAAGCGCCGTCCGGCCACGCGGAGAGCGAAGACCGAAGACCCCTTCGAGCCATGGAAGGAAACACGACGGGAGGTGTTTCCGTATTGTCGGCCTCTGGGGGCCCCCACTCCTCCTCCTCGTCCTCCTCCTCCTCATCCTCCCCTCCTCGGGCCTCGGGACCGTCCAAAAAACGACTCCTGATGAAAGACTGGTCCCTGGGAATGGGTCCAGACCTTTGGGGGTCGACGTGATGAAAAAGTCCTGACGTCGGGGTCTGGGGTAATTATTCGGCCACGCGCAGAGGGGGGTAGGGGGAGGGGAGGCTTCTTAGAAAGAGGCTGCTGCTTAGAAGGCGCGGGTTTTCTCTATGAATGCAAGGCCGGCGCCTTCTGAGAAGCATCTTCCTTCGAAGAAGCCCTGGCTCCTCCCCCCATACTGTTCGGCCTTTGGGGACCTCATGTTGGACCCGGGGGCCGTCAAGAAACGACCCGGGATGAAACACTGGCCCCAGAGAAAGGGTCGGGATTTCCGAGGACCCCGCGTTGAAAGAGTCAGAGCGAGGGTGCCAAAAATCGAGGAAGCGCAAACATTCATGAGCTGTCCATTCGCAACCATAATTACTCATACGATCCCCAGATGTTCCCTGGTTGGGATTCCGGGGAGGGGGCTATGGGTGAGTTCTGTCGGGTGGGGGCCCCCGCTCGAATGGGAGCCCCCCCTCAGGAATGGGTCGGGACCTTTGGGGGTCGACGTCGAAAAAAAATGTCATGACGTCGGGGGTCTGGGATATGGAGGCACTCACAGGGCCCCAGGGACCGTCAAGAAGCGATTCAGGATGACATGTTTTCTGGTCCCCAGGGGGGGGAAGGTCCACGTCGGAGGTTTGGGGCGCTCGAGTGGGGGCCGAGGTAGAGTCAACCCGCATAGTAAGGATGGGCAACCTTCCCAAGGGTGTCCTCGCATCCTGGCCTCCTCGCTCCATCCTTGGCCACTGTCGTTGGCCGCGCCCCGCTCGAGAAGCCTCGAAATGGCCTTTCGAGGCCCTTGCATCCTTATCGCGCATCCTTCTGATACGGGCCGACTGTGGGAGGGGCCCGGCCGGGCCGGCCTCATCCTGCCTTTCCAATCGGGGGTGGACAGAACCCCCACCTTGACACGTCGATTAGTGAACTGTCTGGTTTCGGTTCTCGCGAGGGCGCCGCGGCCGTCATTTGCCAGGCTCGCGCCCGCCCGGCGCCAGGTTTGGGCCCGAGGTCGCTTTCACCGAACCACGTTCTGCTGACAATCCGAAGGGTGTCCGCGGTTCGGTCGGTGCCGGCTGCGTCGCAGTTGGGCTGCGGTCGGTCGGCTCGGCGCGGCCCGTGGTCGTGCCGCGCTGTGCCGCGGCGCTGCGCCCCTCCGGGCTGCTGCTCGCGGCGTGGTCGTTCTCGGCGAAAGTTCTCGGTCGGAGTTGGCGTCTCGGTGTTTTGTCGCCGGGCGGCCGTGTGTGCATCCCCTTTTCTGGGTTTGTCCTCCCGCAGGATCGAGGGCCGAAAAGGATTTGGGATGCTTGGGGGCGATTCCGGCGGTTCTCGGGGAGGGCCCTGGACGGGGTCCTCCTCCTCAGTAGGAGGTGGCAACCCTCTTTCGGAACCTGAAACGGCTCCTACCGTCTCCAGCGCGCACAGCAGTTGCGCGATTGAGCCTGCACACGTGACCACCACGCACGATTTCTCCCTGGCGTCCCGTACGCGTCCAGTTGAGCAACCATCAGTTGGCGTTTGTGGTGTCTCAGGGAATGTTAGAGAGGGTATGTACTCCTCTCCCTCCGTCTCATATCCCTCCTCTTCTTCCTCCCCCTATCCCGTACATCCCCCTCGATTTCCTCTTCCTGGTGGGTGTTGTTGCGCAGGAGCGGCACATGCGAGCTGTAGAGTATCTAATGGCCTTCGGTCCATGCCACCACCGTGCCTGGGTTGTGGGTCTGAGGCCTCTTGGATGTTCGTTGGGATCTCGTCGAGGCCTCTCGGGGACCTGAGGCCTCTGAGAGGCTGTTTGGGTGCCTCTTTTGAGCCTCTCGGGAGCTACTTGGGGCCTCCTGGACGCATCTTGGGGCGGAAGGCTCGGAGTGTCGGTTCGTGTTCCCCTTCTGGGGCCCGTCTTGAGGCCGTATTGGGGCCATTTTGGGCCTCCTGGGGCGCCTCTTGGGCCGTCTTGGAGCCCTCTTGGGCCGTATGGGGGCCCTCTTGGGAAACCGGGGGGCGGTCTTGGGGGCCTTGGAGCGTCGGAAGCTCGAACAGTCGAGAACTTCAAGACATTGAAAATCTGCGGGATCATGAAGTATTCGTGTTTCTTTGGACCCTCTGGAGAGTGCTCTTGGAGGCCTCCGTGGGCGTCCTGGGCGCGTCTGGGACCGACTCGGGGCCATCTCTGGGCGTCTTGGACCGACTGTTCGGCGAGGAGTGGCCTCCTGGGACCGTCTTAGGGGGCCTCTTTCGGGGGCGGAAAAGAGGGGGGTGATGACTACGGGGGGGTGGATATCATGGCGTGGGCCATGATATTTCCCCAGATTTCATGGCGCCTCTTCTTGTTTCATTACGTCCCTGGCCCCCCCGCTGGGCCGCGCACATGCCGCCGGTCATGATTTGCACCCCCTCCTCTTGGACACCCCCCTCTTGGCCACTCCCGACTCTTGGGACCCTCTTGGCCCGTCTCGGGGCCCTCTTGGGCCCCAACAGGCCGCGGCGGGCCCCAGTGGGCACGCAAGAAGCCCCCGCAGATTCGAGCATCTTGGGTTCGGGGCCCTACCACTCAGGAGTGAAGATTGGTGCTCAGAGGTTTAAGCACGAGACCTGGGGAGACTCCGTTTCGTGCCACAGGAGCACGGTGGCGGATATTCGCGAGCTCCTAAGATCTTCCCTAAACCCCCAAGAACATTTAACAATTTCCAGAACGTCCCTCCTCCATTCCTCTTTCTTATACAGAACTCCTCCCTGTCGCACCCCGAGGCCAGTCGGAAGGGCGGACCAGGCGTTTCGTTCGAGGTTTATTACCGTGCATGATCATGAAGTTAAGAGATTGGCAACAGTTTCACATATGGAGGGCGGGGGGTGTTCAAATGTGGCTCTGGCCCCAGCGCCGCGCACACTCGCCCTTTTCAAACATGAAGCAGCTTCTCAGGTGGAGGGCGGGCGGTGTTCAAAATGTGGCTGCACTAGCGCCGCGTACATCCGCTTGTTTCAAACATGCAACAGCTTCACAGGAGGAGGGCGTGCGGAGTTCCAAATGTGGCTCTCTCCCCAGCGCCGCGCACATTCATTGTTCAAAAAATGCAACAGCTTCACAAATGGAGGGCCAGCGGTGTTCCAAATGTGGTCCTCGCCTGAGCGCCGCGCAAATTCATGGTTGCAAACATGCAACAGCTTCACATGTGGAGGGCGGACGGTTTTCAAAATGTGGCTCTGGCCCCAGCGCCGCGCACATTCGCCTTCTAAGCAACAGCTTCACATATGGAGGGCCGGCGGTGTTCAGAATGTGGCTCTGGCCCCAGCGCCGCGCACATCCGGTTTTTTTCTAACATGCAACAGCTTCACAGGTGGAGGGCGGGCGGTTTTCAACGTGTGACTGTCACACTAGTGCCGCGCACATTCGCTTTTCAAAAAATGCAACAGCTTCACAGGTGGAGGGCGTGCGGTTTCCAAAATATGGCTCTCGCCCCAGCGCCGTGTACATTCATTGTTTATCACATGCAGCAGGTTCACAGGCGGAGGGTTGTCGGTTTTCAACATGTGGCTGTCGCACTAGCGCCGCGCACATCTGGTTTTCAAAGCATGTAGCAGCGTCACAGGTGGATGGCGTGCGGTTAAGAAAGTATGGCTCTCGCCCCAGTGCCGCGCACATTCAGTGTTTAAAACATGCAACAGCTTCACAGGTGGAGGGCGGGCGGTGCACAACATGTGTCTCGCGCCGCGCACATCCGCTTTTTCAAAACGTGTAAAAGCTTCACAGGTGGAGGGCGGGGGGTGTTCAAAATGTGGCTCTGGCCCCAGCGCCGCGCGCATCCGCCTTATCAGAATCATCAGTTCCACAGGTGGAGGGCGTGCGGTTTTGAAAATGTGGTTCTCGCCTCAGCGCCGCGCACATTCACTTTTTAAGAAATGCAAATGCAACAGATTTACAGGTGGAGGGCGGGCGGTGTTCAAAATACGGCTGTCGCACTAGCGCCGCGCACATTCGCTGTTTAAAACATGCAACAGCTTCACAGGTGGAGGGCCGGCGGTGTTCCAAATTTGGCTCTCGCCTTAGCGCCGCGCGCATTCGCCCTTACAAATGTCCAACAACGAGGGCGGGTCGTTTTCAAGACGTGGTTCTCGCTTTAGCGCCGCGCATATTCGCCTTTGAATTCAAGAGGTTCACGGATTGAGGGCGGCCCCTTTTCAAAATGTGGTTCTCGCCGTAGCGTTGCGCACATTCGTTGTTACATGTCGCAACGGTTCCACGGATTTCCATGGTCGTCAGCGTACCAGAACCATGTTTGGGCGCGGTTCAGGACTAACAGGACGCTTCACTCACTTGCCAAGGCGTGTTCTGGCACGGTTCAGGATCGTCAAGACGCAGCAGTCAGGTTTATTCATGGCGTTGGAGTCCCGAGATTGGTGTTGTGGCACGCTTCAGGATCTTCAAACGGTTGTCTCCCAACGGGGCATTGCCCTCAGTGGAAATTAATGTGTGGTGAAGCCTATGACGTGGCGGGAGGGTTTATTCCAAGATCGTTGATGCGTCGTGGGTTTACACTGGTCCTCCTCCTCCTCCTCCTCCTCATCCCTCCGCCTCTTCTTCCTCCTCCTCCTCCTCCTCCTCTTCCTCCTCTTCCTCCTCCTCCTCCTCCTCCCCGTGCTCCGCCTCCTCCTCCTCCTTCTCCTCCTCCTTCTCCTCCTCCTCCTCCTCCTCCTCCCCCTCCCCGTGCTCCGCCTCACCTTCCTCCCTGACCCTCCTCCTCCCCCCGCTTTCAGGGCGAATGCCGGCGCTCGTGCGTCACGGCACCCCCGCATTCACAACAGCAAACATGCGTAGGGCGCCCCCGTCGCCCCCTCCTCTGCTTCATCCCCCCTTCTCCTCCCTCCGTCTCCTCCTCCTCCTCCGTCCCCCCTTCGGGAGGAGCAGCTGCTCGCAGTGATGTCGGCATCTGGCCAGGGAGGTGGGGTTGCTTTCGCGGACTCGGAGGGCGACGAGGCTGCCGAGGAGGAGTTGCACTCCAAGCGTCTCATCATCACCTCCACCATCAGTATCACCACCACCACCACCGGCTCCACGTCAGAGTTGCTATTCGCGTCGGGTTCAGAAGACCACCTCCAGTCACCCGAGCTCCAAGATTGAGGTCGACATTGTCAATGCCGACTTGGATTGTGGATCGCTGCTGGGAATCTCCACCCAGTTGGCCATAGTCCGAGATTATGCCACATTGTTGCTGCGAAGACTCGCGCGCAACAGTCAGTGGGTGGTCTCAAGGGCGATCATGCTCAGCTTGCTATGTCTTATGATTTGCTTGCGAGGATTTCGGATTGCGAACGTGTCATGTGTCCGACGCGCTATTGCATATCCCGATATCGTTATTCCGGTTATGCACTGACGGGACGGGGCTGGTTTATTGGAGAAGCATTGCCACGATTTTGCCACTTGTTCGTTAGACGATGCGGAAGATGAGGTATGGATTGCCCGTGAAATTGAAGAGGTTTCCTACCAAGTGCGTTTGGCAGCAGCATTTCAGACGGCCTGCATTTGCGGCCACACTGCCCCTGGACATGTGCTGCGAGGAGGGCTCAGCATTGATGGCACATCTCCGCCTTCAAGTAACGAGCTCTAGAGAATCTGACCGACTATGGCGAGGAGGTCCTCTGCCCCGTCGACCCTGGCCCCTACGGTGTGGCACAGATTCGCAGGCTGACCGCTCCATGCTGTTAGCAAACTTGACTCCATTGCGGTTGGCGCAGGTTGGTTCGACAATATGATCGTTCGCGCGAGTTCCTGGACTGGGCATCAAGACATGGGATGCGTGGACTGACGCAGGTTTAAGCATCGCGCAGGTGGCAGAGGCCACGGCGTGGAGGAGGCGCACCAGCCGCTAAAGGAGTCCGTGGACCAGGCAGTGGGCGAGGAGCCGGCGCAGATGCGTCTGGGGGCGCTCCACGTCGCGTTGTTCGAGGAGCCGGGCGCGCCCTCCCTCTAGACGTCGCGGCCGTGCACGGACCGGGAACGGGCGAAGGACGGCATCACGGGCCGCACGCGCGTCAACACAGTGAGGTCGCACGTGCGGGCCATGGAGACGATGCGCAAGTGACCCTTGCGCGCGCATGGGGCCCTGGGGGCCCGCGACGATCGTGTTTTTCATCGACTACGTCCGCGCCAGGACGGCGGAGCCCCGTTGGCCATCTGTGCCAAACCAGAGCCCACGCGCCATGGCGCGGGCGGGGCGGGCGGCAGGTGTCAACCCGGACGACAAACTCTCCACTCGACCGGAGGCACAACAGGTCGTCGCGAACGTCGAGATGCTCCTCGGGGTGGGCAAGGGACCGACGACGAGGGCAGCGCGATTCCCCAGTGCGTTCCTCGGAGCTTTGGAGCGGCTGCTAATGGATAGTACCTCGCGCTATACTTGCGCGGGGTGGCGTGCACCGGTTTGCCAAGGTGTGGGTGGTGCTGCGTTACGACGACCACAGCTAGCTCCCGCCGCAGCGCCTCGCCCTCGTGGATTGGGCGCGGACGGCCGCGCTGGGGCGCGCGAGGAGCAGCGGAGCAGGGCGCAGAATGCCAGAACTGCCGCGTGTGGTATCCCGCGAGTGCTACATGCTGGGCCCGGCATGGATTCACACGGGCTTCGACTAGTGGAATGAAATCGCAGAATACGAGAGGGACTACTTCCTGCCGAGGTGCGACGACGCGGGGCAGGCGGCGGTCCGCAAGCCCGCCGGGCGCGCAGAGGCACCAGCAGCGGGCAGAAGGGGTCCAGAGGATGCCAAAGCCGGCGGCACGCACGGGCGAGGACATCAACCTCTTCATCTCCCAGGAGGTCGTGAGTTTTGGACGGTGCATTCGGAGCGGGCAGCGATCCCTCCAACCATGGCGGCGATGGGGACCCCGAAGAGCGAGCGCGACTACCCGGGCAAGTGGTCGCTGGAGGGTGCGGGTTTTTTCGCGAGGACGCATTGCGCAGTCGTGCCCAAGTTCCAGCGGCAGTTCGCAGAGACGCGCCCCTTCTGATTGCGCCCTTGCTATCGCCCGCCTCAGCCGAAAAGCCAAGCCTGAGATCGTTCCCCCATCAGTTGGCACGACTTGCAATGGACGGCATACGTGCGCGCTGCCCCACAGCTTTCGGGAACGCTCTCAGAGCGTTCCAGAACGCTCTGAGAAAGCCGCGGCGCCCGATACGTCTTCCAGAACCGCCCGATCGTAGATATTCCCGATTTACTTCTGTCCGACGTTGTCTTTGTCGCTGTTTCGCCTTGGTGCCCCATGTGCGCCGAGCTCCGTGAGTGAATGAAATGCAGCAATATCCAGGCCTTTGGCGGCCAGCCCACGTTTGTCAAGTGGTGGCGCGCTGCGCACCCCAATTATTAATCAGACAGCTGAATACAAGGTGCCCCTGTCAACGAGGCGGCTTGGCGAGCGCTTCAACATGCCAGGACACTTTGTTGCGCGTGTTCTTTTCGAGCCCCGTATAGCGCAATGTTAGCCGAGGCGTTGTCTGTGCAGCGTGGCCGGTGCGCGTGCGGGACCCGCGGCGGCGCGTGGAGCCGATCGAATGTCGGCGGGGGGCCGAAGAGATCATTCGCTCAAATGGCATTTGTGATTCCAGAATTTCCGTGTGCATTTGTCGAATGACGCCTTCACGCAGTGGAGCGTCTGGCCGTCATCAGCACCACCTTCATCACCATGAGCACCATTATCATCACCATCGCCATATTCCACCACTGCCGCTCATCATGTTCATAGCCATAGTCCGCATCATCGTCCGAGTCGCCTTCTTCCCCATCGTCACTCTTCATCTTCATGGTATTCCAGTCCGCCACCAAATTGCGATCCACCTCTTCCTTTTCCTCATGTCCGTCCCTCTTCTCTTTTGGCCGCAAGCCCTGCAAGAAATCCAGCTCTTCTTGGTTTGCGGATGACGGGGGAACGGACAGCCGTCCAGACCTCCTATAAGTTGGTCCATGCCCTGATGGGCGCGCCGGTTAGGACCGTAACCCATTCGGTGGAAGGTCGACAGTCATCAAATTGTGAGCACACCAAACAAGATATTGGTTTGTTGACGGGCTCCAAACAAGAGTTTCTGATCCACCATGGGCCGCAGAGCGCACCTCGCCAAGGTCAACGTCGACGAAGCATGTGCCCCCAGATCTCTTATCGCAAGAGTTCTCTTCGTGTGGGCCTGCTGCAGGAGGTGGAGGGGAAGGAGAAGGAAAAACAGGAGGCGCAGGAGCAGAAGCAGGAGAAGGAGGGGGAAGGGAGGGAAAGGAGGAGGAGGAGGAGCACCGACAGCATGAGCAGGATGAGGAGCAGAAGGAGGAGGAGGAGGAGGAGGAGGAGGAGGAAGAGGAGGAAGAGGAGGAGGAGGAGGAGGAGGAGCAGCAGAAGGAGGAGCAGCAGCAGCAGCACGTGGGGGAGAAGAAGGAAGTGAACAGGAGGAGGAGGGGCAGGAACCGGGGAAGGAGGAGGAGGGGGCAAAGGAGGCGGAGGAGCAGCGGCAGGAAGAGGACGACGACGACGTGACGGGGAGGAGAAGGAAACGGAAAAGGGGAACAGGGAAGAGGAGGAGGAGGAGGAGGACCTGAGGAGGAGGAGGAACGCACCAAGTGCCCCAGACTGTTTGTTCTTCTGTGGGTGTACCCCCAAGGGTGTTGCATTGTGGATGTCTGATCAACGCCACCCTGAAAACGCATCATGAATGTCTAGATGTGAAGCTGGGCTTGGAAGGGCAGCTTCGCGGGGGAATCTCGAAATCACCACGCATAACCCGACGCGAACAGATCAGACGTCGGAGACAGATCAGCGGTTTCTGAGGTACACAGCTGCCTGAAGCAAACCCCGTCATCGCTCCAGTCCAGCATCGATCGATACAGTCGAGACTGATTAGTAGGTCGACCCGGCCAAATCAAGGATACTCTTGTGTCCTGAGTTTCGCGTTCCATGTCTTCTTACATTCCTATGACAATGTGGCCCTCGGAAGGGTCTCGTGTCCTCTTCGCGTGTCCTCTCCAGTCAGCCCCGACTGTGCATGGTGACCTTCGGCACATCCCGCCACCGTGCCTGGGTCGTGGACCACAAGCCCCCCAAAGAGAGGCCTACCGGCAGGCACGTCAAGTAAGAAGGCGGCCTGCTAACAGGTGCCCCACGAAAGCTTCTTACAGCCAACACGCGTAGTAAGGACGCGCGCCTTTTCTAGGGTACCCTTACATCCTTGCCACTGCGGCCCGTGTTTTGCCGTTTTCATTGGTCGCCCGTCGCCCAAAAATCCCAGTTGCGGCCTCCAAGTGTCTTGCGTCCTTACCACCCATCCTTAAGATACGTTTTCACTGTACAGTGAAGGCCCATGCCAAGAAACACCCTGCTTGCCTCCAGGATACCCTCATTTCGATGGTTTTGCGATGGAAAGCGTGACGTTCCCACAACAAAAATCAATGGACGTCCTGGGGTCTCAGGGTTGGGTTTCTTGTGGAAGGTGTCTTGAAGACTAGCCTCCACTGTATCCCCCAATGTCCTAGGGGGGGGCACTGAAGCCCTGGGGCCTGGGGCACCTCAGGAAGCCCAGATCTCAACGAAGCCTGTGCCCAATGATCTCTAATAACAAGATGTCTTATCGCACGTGTCTCCTGTACCTATCGGTCGTTGAAACTAGGTACTTTTAGAGTCCCAGATTCCAATATACTTCAAGCGCCTTCCTGCTTCAATGATCGAGCGGCGTCACCTATTTCTGTCCTCCACAGGGGGCGGGCGGAACCCAATCTATGTCCAACGCCTTCCTACTTCATGGTTCTACCTACTTCTTCCGACCGATGGGTATGGGGGTCACTGAGAGGGCATATATGTGGCTTCTAGGGGGGCCTTCGGGAACCTCCTGGGAGACTCTTGGGGCAGCTTGGGGGTGGGGTTATGTGCCTCGTGTGGGTTGCCTGCTGACTGCCTCAGGGTCCATCTTGGGCCAGGCCTCGAGAAATGTAGCTCGAGGTCACCCTCTTGGGGGCCTCTTGAG